TACACATGAATGTACCCAAAAGATTTTGGATGGATGCTATAGTTGCAATTGCCTTATGTCATCTTTTGCATGCCCTCCATAGTGTTGAACTACATGGCCCCTCATATGTTGTTGTTCTTTTAGTCTCCTTTATTTTCCATTCCCATGAGAGTATTTGATTGTCGTGCCTTTGTCCATGATTTGTTTCCGTCTTGTGGTAAGTTAGACCCTCAGTCTATTCCATGCATCTTTCTGGGGTATCCCCACTCTGAAAAGAGTTACTGATGCTTTGGTTCTGATAGTCATAAGTTTTTCGTCTCTATGGATGCTTCATTCTTTGAGTTTGAACCGTTCTTCCCTACTTCTCCTCAGGGGGAGAGTAGCGTGGAAGAGGAAAAGCAGGTCTAGGTCCGTCAAGTCTCTCTTCCTTCTATTTTGTGCCCCCTTTCGCGTCTTCCAACATAAACACCGTAGAGATCAGCAATGTGACAAAAGTGTGCAACTACCAAACATTGAGCAACCGACACCTTCAGACTCCCATGAGATAAGTCCAAATGAACTAGGCCCTATTGCACCTATTGATACCCCTGCTCCTATTTTGGATGACCTTGATATTCCTATTGTTCAAAGAAAGGGAGTCAGGTCATGCACTGCCAAACACTCCATTACCCAATGTCTCTTATGATCACATTTCCCCCTCATACCGAGCCTTCTTATTTGTAGTTGGTTGCATCCTTGTACCCAGAAATGTTGTAGAGGCCTTAAAATACCCTGAATGAACAGATGCTATGAAAGAGGGGATTAATGCCCTCCATAAAAATCAAACTTGGGACTTGGTGGATCTTCCAAGGGGGAAAGACCTAGTGGGGTGTAAGTGGGTGTTTACAGTTAAAACACAAGGTGGACGGGACAGTTGAAAAGTACAAAGCAGGATTAGTGGCAAAATGGGACCCTCAAGTCTACGGGGTTGACTATGATGAGATGTTTACTCAAGTAGCTAAGATAAACTCAATTCGAGTTCTTCTATCATTGGCTACTAATCTTGACTGGGAATTGCATCAATTGGACATAAAGAATGCATTTTTAAATGGTGACTTGGAGGAAGAGGTGTACATGGTTCAACCCCCAAGATTCTGTGCCAAGGGAAGTGAAAATAAGGTGTGCAAGCTGAGAAAGTCTCTTTATGGTTTAAAACAATCTCCTAGGGCTTGGTTTAGTAAATTTCATACGGCAGTCCAACAAGTAGGATTCAAGCAATGTCAGTATGATCACACTCTCTTTGTCAAGAATAGGTTGCTGTGTTGGTAGTGTATGTGGATGATATCATCATTATAGGAAATTGGAGCTCAAAAATACCAAAGTTGAAACAATTCCTAGCATCTCAATTTGAAGTGAAAGATCTGGGTCCACACTAAAGTACTTTCTTGGAATTGAAGTTGCTCGCTCAAAAAGGAGCATCTTCATTTCCCAGAGGAAATACACCCTTGGTTTGTTACAAGATGCATGCAAGTTAGGTGCAAGGCCAGCATAACTCCCATGGATGTTGGTCATAAATTGGGTGACTGCGTTGGTGAACCTCTGGAAGATGTGAAACGGTTCTAAAGGTTTGTGGGAAGGTTGCTTTATTTGTCCATGACCCGTCCATACATTGCTTATTTAGTTGGGGTCTTGAGCTAATTCATGCATTCCCCTAAAAGACCACACATGGAGGTAGTAGAGAGGATTCTTAGGTACTTTAAAAAGTATCCAAGAACAATTCTACTATTCAATAATTATAATCATCTAAAGGTGGAAATCTATATAGATGCTGATTGGGTAGGTGCTGTGGATGATAGAAAGTCCACAAGTGGGTACTACACATTTGTGGGAGGAAATCTAGTGACACGGAAAAGCAAAAAACAAAGTGTGATAGCAAGGTCAAGTGCTAAAGCGGAGTATAGGGCTATGACACATGGGGTGGCTGAAATATTTTGGCTAAAAAACCTTCTAAGGGAGCTTGGAGTTACTATTCACAATCCTTTGTCTCTTTATTGTGACAACAAGGCAGCCATAAACATCGCCAGGAATCTTGTCCTACACAAGAGGACCAAGCACATTGAAGTGGGCAAACACTTCATAAGGGAAAAATTGGAGAAGGGGGAATTTGTACTCCTTATTGTCAACTCTAAGGAGGAACTTGCTGATGCCTTCACAAAAGGACTTGCATACTCATGGCACAATGATTTGTGTGACAAGTTGGGCATGATAGACATATTCAGCCCATCTTGAGGAGTGTTATTGTTATTCACTTATTTTTTATATTTGCTGTTAGTGTGCTGTCAGTTTGTTCTTTTCTTCTTTTAAATTAGTTTATTATTAGGGTGTGCCGCCAGGGGTATAAATGTAATCTTCTACTTATTTTATGTTAAGTTAATATAAATAAGAAGCTGGGTGCCGCCAGCAATACTTTTTGACTCTCAAATCTTTCTCTCTCTCTCTCTCTCTCTCTCTCTTCTTCTTCTCTTCTCTCTTTTCTCCTCTTCTCTCTCATCTCTCTCTTCTAGAAGGAAAATTAAACTAAACTATTCATTTAGTGGCTTTGTAATATTTTTAAAATTTAAATTCTAGTTTCTTTTTATTATTTTCTTATGTATTGGGGTTCGATAAAACTTTGATGACACCTGAACTGGTAATCAAGGAAACACAAGAGCAACCAAGGTATGCCTTATTTTCTTCTTCTTCTTCTTTTCTTGGGACAAAGATAGGAGCTAAAACTCCTATGTTTTTTGATTTTTCTTCTTTTTTCTCTCGTGAATATGTTGACTTTCTATATTTTGATATGAAGTTTATACTTATTTATGAAGATTATTGGTAATTATTAGTGAAAGCTGATTGTTGGTTGTTATGAAACCTAAGAAATTACTCTAAGGTTCAGGTTTCTTATTTTAAAAATCTATTGCTTGGGTGACAAGGGGCTCCCCTATCACCTAACTTCGAGTTGACACCTTTACAACTATGACTTAAATTTAGTTGGAGAATAGTTTTTTCTGTATCTCATATATATATATATATATATATTTTGAGAGTGACTTGTCAAATGGGGCCATTACCCAGTGGTAGTTCCAGCTATCTGGGGTCTTGGGAGGAGTGGACTGGATATGATCGTAACCTTGCATTTTTTTTTTTTGGCACCAAGTGGTCATTCTCAGAATCAAGGGTTTGAAAGTACAATTACAAAAAGGGTCTATGTACAAGCAGGATTTCTGCTTAAGTGAACAAAAAGGCCCACAAAAAAGTATATCATATTAGCTTTATCTATCTATTTCTTAGCTCTTTGACATTCCAACTTAGAAAGAGCTCTTGGACTGAATACGGAAAACACCATTTCCAAAAATGTTGCCAATAAGTGTGAGCCCATAAGACAGTACTCATAGTGAAGGAAGAACATGATGGCTTTTTCTTCTGTCTTCCTGCATATCATATATGTGGAGTCTGATTTTATATAAGCATGTCTCTTCTCGCCAGTTGATGTAAAGTTGGTCATTTTCTAAGAGCTGCAGTCCATACTATAACAGCATTTGTCTTTTCATTGATTCCTCCCTATACAAATTTGGATGATAGGCTAGGTTTGCAACTTTGCATTCTCATTATTGCCTTCTTCCGCTGATTGAACTTCCGCTGCTAAACATGAGCTTACTCTTCTTCTTGTGTTGACACTCTTATGAAAGAACTCTGTTTTCTTGTCTCCTCCGAGCCGCATGAATCTATATCCTTATATCTGTTTAATATCCTCTTCATAGGCAACCCTGTTACTTTTGCTTTGCTTCATTTCTTGTGCATCTTTTCCTTTGAGCTAGCAAACTGCGTTCTTCCACCTCTTGAAAGGTGGTTCTGCTCCATTCATTTAGATTGCATTTCAAAGCTCATAGCTACTTGGTAAAAAATCTGGCTGTCCACTCTGCAGCGACAGATTGCTACCACTCCATTCTATTTCCAACAACGTCTTTTTGGATCTGAATGGGGCTGGTATTTGCCTAATCCAAAACCAAAAATGGTGAAGATGTGATTGGAAACAGGTCTTCGGGCATTTGTCTAAGCAACTTTAGGGAAGATCTTCCAACTGCTGAAACCAAAAAATATGTCAAGTTATACTAAACTGGTTGTTTGCCCATGTAAAATCAAACCCCTGAAGAAGCAGGTCCATCAATTTCCTGTATCATAATGGAGGGTTTTTGGAGAAGCACCTGGCTATTCTCGTCATTTCCGTTTTTAACTTTTCTTGGTGAATATGACAGTTGACATGCCTTTTTTTTCTTTTCCTTTTCTTTTTAATCTGTGGATGGTGCTGAAAATTGTTCTTAACACGCTTTGCTTTAGAAGAGTAAGGCTACAATGTTAACTTTGCACTTAATTTTTGAACTGCAAAGGAAGACATCATCAATTGTCATTCAGCAAATAATTTCTTTCCCATTTTTTTCTGTTTGTTTTTTTATTTTTCCTAATAATTTTCTCAGTTAACCCCTAATCAAATTGAACATCTTGGCCAATGGGGATGCCAGATAATGTGCTGAGATCCTCTCCAATTGCCATTGGCATAAAAAAGGACTATAATTTTTTCCATTCACTTTGGTTTTTATTTTATTCTTTAAACATCAGTTTATTTAAGCCCTAATCAAAATTTTGGAATTACTGTATAATGGGGATGTTAATCGCAGGGCTGAAGGTTAAGCTCTTTGTACACTGATCTTTAAGTGGTCTTGTCTGAGTGAAGTGAATGCATAATATGGTCATAATATGTGGCCATGACTCATGCAAGAGCTTCCTATTGATATCAACTGTTTTTTCTGCTTAGTGTGATATCTTCCTTGCTTAATTTTGGAACTAAGTGGTTATCTTCTTTTGTTTTTTTTTTTTTTTTTATCCTTGTTCTCTTTGGGTAGGTAATACATGTTTCCTCCCCACCTTTCCTTCCATTCTATTAGCAAATAATATTAATTATATGGGCGTAGCTCATATACCCTGTAAATGCTTCTTCAATGCAGGTGGGAAGAATAGTGCCGATAGGTCTCTTCTTGTTGATCTTGTGTATTGGGTGTCTCAGAATCCTCCACCAGCACACCTTTTCTTGATTTCAAGTGATAGGGACTTTGCAAACATTTTACACCGATTAAGGATGAACAACTATAATATTTTGCTTGCAAGTGCAGAGTCTGCTCCAGGTGTTCTTTGCAGTGCTGCAAGTATCATGTGGCATTGGGATGTTCTTGTTAAAGGGGAAAATCTTATTGGTAAACATTTCAACCAACCACCAGATGGTCCCTATGGTTCTTGGTATGGACACTATAAGGGGCCTCTGGAAGACCCCTTTCTAGATATGGAACAACCTGCTTGTTTGCAACCTGAAGATTCACTGGATCCAGGAACAGATTCCAAATCTCGCCCAGTTCCCAAGGCTTTTGTGAATAGGATTCGTCAAATATTGAGCATGTACCCCAAAGGAATTAGTATTTCTGATCTTCGTTCTGAGCTGGGCAAAAGTAATGTGACCATGGATAAAGACTTCTTTGGACATAAAAAATTCTCTCGCTTGCTTTTATCGATGCCAACTGTCTTGAAGCTTCGGCCAGCTGGTGATGGCCTCATTTTGGTGCATGGTGTCCGCCCAAAAGCTGCTGAAACTGTGGAATCCAATTCGAAATTATCTACTGTTCCAGAAACTAGTAATGGAAGCCAGGACCAAACAGTTCCAGAAACTAGTAATGGGGACCGGGATGGCATTGACATTATGGAAGTAAATACTGGGGACAATGCTGTGAGTGCAGATTTGAAGGAGAAATTGCCACTACCAACATCTTCTCCAGTAAAACCAGAAGAGCCCCTTCAACCTGTCCATAAAGATATTGATGCTCTTCCAACTATGTGCAAATTGACTACTGCAGAGGGGCAAATATCTGAGATGGGGTTTTTCCAAGGAATATGGAGAAAGTGGTTCAGAAATAAAAATGATGCTCCTACAGATGAGGATAATAGTATATCAGCAGAATGTTCTGATACAGTAGGCACCTCTGACAAGACAAAATGCAGGGAAAAATCTCCAGAGTCAACAAATCATAATACCGACCAATTAGATTCCATTTCATCTTCCTCAAATGCAAAAGAATCAGCTAGTGGGGAGAGAATTACTAGGAGTCCTGAAGAAAATTGCAATAATCCCAGATTAAGCATGGGCATCATTAACCGATTTGTGAATTGGTGTAAGTTTTGGAGAACTAGCTTAAATCCTGATAAGGCAAATGAACATTGTTGTAAAGAATTGAACCAAACAGAGAATGAGATTATAAATCATGAGTTATTCTCAAAGGATTTCCTTTGGGATGATGTGGAATTGTTCGTACATTCACCCAAAGGATCAGCTCTCATTTCTCAATCGAAGACCAGGTACTTGTCTTTGCTTATTTTTAGTAATTTCCTCCTATAATGCTGACAGTGTTTTTCAGACAGATTTAACACAACACCCTTGTTGTATCGTTATTGTTAAGCTCATGAAAATCTCAGTTTCCAGTCAGTCAGTGATTCCTAATTTGTGTAATACTGACAATATTACAATTGATTTCCTTGTAAGTTCTAGCGCACATAAATCATCATCATCCAAGCCTTATCTCAAAACTACACGTGATTGGTATTCTAGCACAAGAAATCCACATCTTTTTTTCCTCTTTATTTTCCACTGGTTTTTCTCATTCTCATAAATATTAGTTACTAGTCTCTTATAATGTCATGGGAAACAAAATTGTTTCATTGTGGTTTACCATTACATTTTTTGACATGAGTTTCACTTTCACCATCTTAAAATGAGCACTTCCTGTTATTTGATAAAATGTTGGAACAAAATCATTTAGGGATTTTAAGGAAATTATCATATTTCTATATTCTTATAACATTTGGATATGAATCTATTTCATATGATGAATTAATTCAAATTCTATATAAAACTAAATAATGTAGCCAACTAACAGGCTGGGAGGAGGGACGAGCTGATAGACGAAATTAAGCGTCTATCTTCTTCTACCCCAAGCCCCTCCTCTCGTTCGAACAGTTCAGGCGCAAAAAAATCTCCAGATTTGCAGTCGCGAGGCTCTCTACATTGGGTCCCATCCAACCTGGCGAACCGTCTCTCACCAGATAGGCGCAACCCGAGATACCTCAAGCCTAGTGATGAGAACAGAACARGGATTGAAGACTGGTCGAGTGAACAAAACAGCAATGACGATTCTGATAGAGACGAAACGCCATGTCTCGGAAGTCTGTCTCTGAAAAGCAACAATGATTTTTTTGAAACAGAAAGTTTGCATACAGAGCTGTTGTTTTTAGAGGAAGAGACTGAAGAGGCAGGTGGCGAGAAGGCTAGAAATGGTGAAGAAAATGGTTCTAAAGCTGTGAAAACTCCTCCTCCCTTCGTCGAGGGAGCTGACCCTGAGTCTAATGAAYTACAGGATGTTGGTGGAGAGGGACAAGAATCGGCTGTGAGGATGGATGCGGGTATTCCAGTGTTGGAAACATAGAGAAAGGTCTTCCAAGTGGGTAGGTCGTCAGGACGTGATTCTTTCACCATGTCTAGTTCACAACCTTGTCCATAAAGGGGAAAGGCTTTAAAACCAGTTGCCGCCTGTCAGGTATGGGTGTCAATTCTGTTTTAGGTACTGACTTGTTTGCTCTGCCTGTAACAGATATCCCAGCTTCCCATCTTGGAGGTTTTGGTGCAAGAAAGAGGGTGTTGGAAGGAAGTAGTAAGGGGGAGGCGGACAGAATTTGGGAGTTGATCTGTACAATGATGGAGGAACAAAATAAAAAGGAAGGACTCGGAGAAAGATGCTGTAGCCAAAATAAGTGAGCAGGGTAAAATTCTTCCTCAGACATTGGCTGGAAAGGATGGAGAAAAGAAAGAGGATGATTGCTGTATTAGGAAGGGGGGGGGGGAGGAACAAATAAAAAAAAAGATCTGAAGTGGAAAGGCTAATTTCAGACATTGAGGTGGATTTAGAATTCAGTGGTAGAGGCGATAGGAGGAAGGGCCTAAAATAAGGAGAATATGGCCTCTTATTGGGTTCTTTTGCTACTTTGTCTCGATGAAAATTATTAGCTGGAATGTAAGAGGGTTAGGGAGTGCAAGKAAGAGAAGGGTGATCAAAGACCTACTCCGAAGGGAAAAACCTGATATTGTGCTGTTACAAGAATCCAAATTGAAGGAATTAGATGGGAGATGGGTGAGGAGTTTTTGGAGGTCTAGAGGTTTAGGTTGGAGCTCGTCTCCTTCTTGGGGAGCCTCGGGGGGGATTTTGTAACACTGTGGAGGGAGGATGTGGTGGAAGTAGTGGAAGAATTGATAGGCAGATTCTTAGTTTCCATTAAGTGCAAGAATGTAGA